CGGCACGCTCCAGTGCCTCCAGGGCAGCTGACCTAAACAGCTCCCCTGGCTCGACTGGTACGCTACGGAGGACTCTCCTACATGCCTCCGTTAGTGGTGACTGGGCCAGCGAAACCTGGCGACGAGTCTGTACCAGCAACAAGGCCTCCTCATACAGAGGTGCATCAACCGAAGGAGGTGCGTCAGCCGAAGGAGGTGCGCCAACCGAAGGAGGTGCGCCAACCGAAGGAGGGGCGTCAACCGAAGGAGGGGGGGGGGGGGACAGGCCCGCTAGCAGCCCCTACACCGGGCCCAGCTGAAGGGCCAAGAGGCGACTTCATCATGCCCCTATCGGCAGCTAGCCGATCCACTTTAGAGGACAGCTTGTTTCTAGTCCTTCTATTGGGGGGAGCACACATAGCCATCGCTCCCTCAAGTCGCCGGGAACGGCCGAATTGATCTGGAGGAGGATGTGACAAGGAGAGGTGTCTGTTGGCTGCTGCCAGACGTTCCACCTCAGTGATTCTAGCCACTCTGAGCGCCCGAGGCATGCAGCTACAGCTCATGCAGGCGTTTACCGTGAGAACCTCCCTCAGATGCTCACATTTCGTCCCCACTGACCGTCAGAGGCGGCCGAGGCAGGAGGGGCAGCGGTCGTGGCCGTCCTCGGGCTCAAAAGAAGCCATACAGGCGCTACATGAATGAGCCATTCTGTAGGTAGCCAGATGCAGCGTAGCCGGGAGCGGGTGCGGGAACACAGCCTTCACCAGCTACCTGCTTAATGGAAAGAGTAGAGCGTTGCTGCTACTCGCCGAACAGAAAGAGGGATGTAATTACACCCACGTTACCGGCAGAGGGAGCGGGAGCGAGAGCACTGCCTTCACCTGGCTGGATTAATAAACACGGCAGTTCAGCGTCTACCAGGAGCGGGGGCGAAAACACTGCCTTCACTGGTTGAGTTAGAGACGAATGCCAGATGCAGCGTAACCGGGAGCGGGTGCGGGAACACAGCCTTCACCAGCTACCTACTTAACGGAAAAACGAGGCAGTTTGGCGTCTACCAGGAGCGGGGGCGAGAACTGCCTTCACTGGTTGAGTTAGAGACGACTGCCAGACGCAGCGTAACCGGGAGCGGGTGCGGGAACACAGCCTTCACCGACTACCTGCTTAACGGAAAAGCGAGGCAGTTCAGCGTCTACCAGGAGCGTGGGCGAGAACACTGCCTTCACTGGTTGAGTTAGAGATGAATGCCAGATGCAGCGTAACTGGGAGCGGGTGCGGGAACACAGCCTTCACCAGCTACCTGCTGAACGGGAAGAGTAGAGCGGTGCTACTACACCGAACAGAAAAAGGGATGTAGCTACATCCGCATTACCGGTAGAGGGAGCGGGAGCGAGAGCACTGCCTTCACCTAGCTGGGTAAAATAAAGAAGCTTAACAGTACACGCAAGACGTTAGCCGAGCAGCTGCTGCTAACGATCAAGCGATATCAAGTCAAATAACACACATGTTTAAGACCAGATAACTAGCTTCGAAAGAAGAGAACAGCACAGAGCCGTAGTTACAGCAGTAACCATGGCCAGAGTGCTCACACGGCATCAGAACTTACACAGCATAGAGCCGTAGTTACAGTAGTAACTCTGGCCAGTACTTGCACGGCTTGGAACCGTAGTTACAGTAGTAACTATGGCCAGTACTTACATGGCTTGGAACCGTAGTTACAGTAGTAACTATGACCAGTACTTACACAGCATAGAGCCGTTTACGGTATTGACTATGGCCAGTACTTGCACGGCTTGGAACCGTAGTTACAGTAGTAACTATGGCCAGTACTTACGGCTTAAAACCGTAGTTACAGTAGTAACTATGGCCAGTACTTACACAGCATAGAGCCGTAGTTACGGTATTGACTATGGCCAGTACTTACACGGCTTGGAACCGTAATTACAGTAGTAATTATGGCCAGTACTTACGGCTTAGAACCTTAGTTACAGTAGTAACTGTGGCCGGTGCCTAAAAGTGTCAGCCAAACGGCTGCCCACTAGAGTAGATAATATAATATTGGGAGGATGAAATCCTCCTTAATGGCCACACATGCAGAGCACACAGCACACAGTGAAGATTGTTCTCTGCATATCGTCCTAGTGCTAGGAGTCTAGTACTAGGAGCAGTAAATACAACGATATAGCGCCATACCATGCGTTTACCGCTGAGTTAAATAATTAAGCTTAACAGTACATGCAAGGTGTTAGCCAAGCGGCTGCTGCTAACAATCAAGCAACCAAGTCAGAACATAATGTTAAGACCAGATAATTAGCTTCTAAGAAAGAGAACAGCCCGCATAGAACCGTAGGCCATGGTTACAGTAGTAACCGCACATGCGGAGCACACAGCACCCGCAGTGAAGATGTTCTCTGCATATCATCCTAGTGCTAGGAGTCTAGTACTAGGAGCAGTCATACAACGATCTAGCGCTACTGCAATCAAACCCTATGTTACCGGAAGCGGGAGCACAGCCCTCACCGGCTGAGTTAATAGTTAAGCTTAACAGCAAGGTGTTAGCCAAGCGGCTGCTGCTAACAATCAAGCGACCAAGTCAGAACACAAATGTTAAGACCAGATAATAGCTTCTAAGAAATAGAAAGTACTTACCTTACTCTCTGCATCTAAACGAAAAACGGGTTAGATTGAATGAGGGACACAGCCAAAGCTGGGACTCAAATGCTAATGATAGCTCGGGCACAACACCACAAGCAGACATAAGGGCAACTTTATGGGAGAGGAAGCGGGAACACTGTCGTCACCAGAAAGTCTAAGCCAAACAAAAAATAAGACAGCAATCAGGACAACTTGGCTGGGAGAGGGTGCGGGGACACAGCCATCACCAGCAACAAGCTGACACCAACCTGTCTGTCGAGGCTCTGCACAGCCGGCCACAGCTCCTGGAGGACGCGTTAACGACCCGTAGCTCCGACTGTCAGTCACGAAGCTGCACGCGGCCAGCTGCTTGCAGAGAAATCCCTCAGATCAAACGTTCAAACCTGAACGCTGTAGGCTACAAAAATGTAGCCACGGTACCCTCGTGCAGCGAGAAGATGAAAGGAACAGATCCTCTGACGACACCGGCTGATATAGCCGGTGTCACGTGGGTCACAGGTGACTTTGTTGTTATTGGTACTCGAGCTGCACATGCGCGCGATGGACATATCCAGTGCTTAAAGCACCGCCTCTGGCGGTCAGTAGGGACGAAATAGAACTCATTATATCCTACTGTCCTACTAGGGCATTGCGTTCCAAGAATGCAGGGTTGTTGGTTGTTCCTAGAGTCTCTAAAAGTACAATGGGAGCCAGAGCCTTTTCTTATTAAGCTCCACATTTGTGGAATCAGCTTCCAGTTTGTGTTCGGGCGGCAGACACCCTATCCGAGTGCGCTTAAGACCTTCCTTTTTGATAAAGCTTATAGTTAGGGCTGATTAGATTCAGCCTCTAGTTTTGCTGATATAGGCTTAGTTTGTCGGGGGACATCTTACTTCTTCCTTCTCTCTGTCTATACCTGTGTACTCTCATGTTCCCATTAACCCAGCTTCCCCAAATGTCTTTCTTTTTGGTGTCTATATACGCCGGGATCCGGAGTCATGGATGATCCTGCGGTCCTGTGTCCTGGATCGCGAGCCCTGGATCTTGAGTCGTGGCTGTGGTCCTGGATCATAGGTCCATGGATATCCTCGTGGATTCATCTTCCTATTATACACACATGTATTTCCAAACATTTGGACTACCTATGTTGCAAATGTATTATCTTTTCAATTTACACACGGCATCTATTGCACGTCTGTCCGTCCTGGGAGAGGGATCCCTCCTCTGTTGCTCTCCCTGAGGTTTCTCCCATTTTTCCCTTTAAACTGTGGGTTTTCTCCGGAAGTTTTTCCTTGTACGATGTGAGGGTCTAAGGACAGAGGGTCTAAGGACAGAGGGTCTAAGGACAGAGGGTGTCCTATTGTTATACTGATATTCTGTACAAACTGTGAAGACCACTGAGACAAATGTAACATTTGTGATATTGGGCTATATAAATAAACATTGATTGATTGATTGGTAGTCGAGACCCCCTTATCCGAGACCAAGACATTACCAAGACTTTAAGAGGTCGAGACCAAGTCAAGACCGGAACCAGACTACTGTGAATCCAACACTACATGATGTGTAAGATACCATAGTCAATTTGATGTGAAAGATCAACATCATCATAAAAAGACACACATACGATATAAATTCAACTTTCTCATATTTTTTCAAAAAGTTTTCCTTTTCATATAAAAACAGGAAAATAATAAGAACATAATATAAAACATCATAATATACATTTTACACTATAGGTCTAAGCAACAAACAAAAAACAAACCAACCAGGAACCACCTTTGTAGACAAACACACACACACACACATGGACCATGGATGTATAATAAGAATGGTCTCGACCGGTCTTGACATAAAATCTCGAAACCTATAAGTCCGAGACCGAGACAAGACCAAGACCAAATGCGGTTGATTACGAGACAAGACCAAGACCGTTAAAAAGTGGTCTCGAGACCAAGACTCGGGTACTACAACACTATAGGGAGAGAGACAGACAGGTAGGGGAGACAGACAGGTAGGGGAGACAGACAGACAGAGAGACAGACAGGTGGGAGACAGAAAGGTAGGGGAGAGAGACAGACAGAGAGACAGACAGGTGGGAGACAGACAGGTAGGGGAGACAGATAGGTGGGAGACAGACAGGCAGGGGAGACAGACAGACAGACAGACAGACAGACAGACAGACAGGTAGGGGAGACAGACAGACAGAGAGACAAACAGGTGGGAGACAGACAGGTAGGGGAGACAGACAGGTGGGAGACAGACAGGTAGGGGAGACAGACAGACAGAGAGACAGACAGACAGGTGGGAGACCGACAGGTAGGGGAGACAGACAGAGAGACAGACAGACAGGTGGGAGACTGACAGACAGGTGGGAGTCAGACCTGTTGGTTGAGGATGAATCTCATGCCTGAGGTCAGGAAACTGGCCATGAAGTCATAAACCTTCCTGAGAGACATGATGGCAGATATGATGATTATTGATTGGTGTTAATTAGTTATTGGTAATTGGATATTGGTAATGATCATGTGTTACCCGAGCGTTCCGCTGAACTCCGCCTTCATTTTGGTGATTTTGGCGTCACAGGTGATGTTATTGATCTTCAGCCGTCCTTCTTCATCCCTGATCAGGTTCAGCACCGTGTTGATGTTCACGCCTTCAGCCGAGGCGTTGATGTTCCCTGTGTCGTAGCTGAGACAAAACATCTTCATCATCTTCATCACAACGACCACTAACATCTTCATCACTGACATCACAACGACCATCATCATCTTCATCACAACGACCATCAACATCTTCATCACAACAACCATCATCTTCATTAAGAGATCTACTTAATGTATAGTAATGGACGTACAACAAGAACCAGTAGAGTACATGTTAGGATCAGTGAAAGAGGTACCAACACGAACCAGTAGAGGACATGTTAGGATCAGAGAAAGAGGTACCAACAAGAACCAGTAGAGGACATGTTAGGATCAGTGAAAGAGGTACCAACACGAACCAGTAGAGGACATGTTAGGATCAGAGAAAGAGGTACCAACACGAACCAGTAGAGGACATGTTAGGATCAGTGAAAGAGGTACCAACACGAACCAGTAGAGGACATGTTAGGATCAGAGAAAGAGGTACCAACACGAACCAGTAGAGGACATGTTAGGATCAGTGAAAGAGGTACCAACAAGAACCAGTAGAGGACATGTTAGGATCAGTGAAAGAGGTACCAACAAGAACCAGTAGAGGACATGTTAGGATCAGTGAAAGAGGTACCAACAAGAACCAGTAGAGGACATGTTAGGATCAGTGAAAGAGGTACCAACAAGAACCAGTAGAGGACATGTTAGGATCAGTGAAAGAGGTACCAACAAGAACCAGTAGAGGATCCTCCGGTGGAAGCTCAGCGAGATGGAGGAGTCCTGGACGTCAAACAGCAGCCCAACGTCGGGGACAAACTGCAGCTCTGCGTGAGTCAGATTCAAGTCGTTTATCTTCACGCTGGCGGCAGACGAGAGGAGATATTAATACAGAACATCAGAACGTCTTTGCAGCCATCAAACATCGGTATAACGGAATTAGTTTGGCATGTCACTGCAGTCATAGAAATAAACACAAATATATAAAAGCACCATAACATGTAAATATACAAAGCTACAAAAGTTTAAATAAAGCTGTGTGTTCATAAATCGATTCCCAAATAAACATAGATGCTAAAGGAATAGAGCGGTGCAGTGAGGAGTCCTAAAACCAGGATTTTACCACTTCCTTTTCCCTGGTCTCAGAGCCAATGGGATCTCTCCATAGGGTTTAGGAAAGTAGCTGAGCTAAGGTCTGTGATTGAGACACATTGAAGAGACGGATCACGTTTTGTTCTACATTAAATCATCAGCAGTGACCCCACTGTGATTTCTGAAGAGTGGACGTGTCTGAGAAACGATGGTTGTTACCAAGTGGCTGAATAGGACTACAGAAGTCGTGGAGGTCGTTGTACGTCATTACGCCGAACACGTGAACACTCCTCTAAGTTAGTTCCTGTTCTGCTTGAAAGCAAGTCCCTGCCTCCTGCAGACTGTTCAAACAAACGCTTCAACTCGTTCCATTTAGAATCTGTGTGTTTGAATCTGGATCTGAAGTTGGCGTGACGTTGAAGTCGTGCTGCTGGACTCGCCTGTAGTTCCTTTATAGCATCACGTTAGCATTTAGCTTCTGGCTATTAGATTTATGATTCGAAAATTAAAAAAGTAGACATGTGGAGATTATCCGGCTGAACAAAACGTGCATTCATCAAACAGGTTCGTTTTCCACAGACCTTATTTTTTACAATATTCCAAAGTCCTATGGAGAAATCCCGTTGCTTTTAGTCGAGGGAACCAGCAGCTTCCTGCAGGGTCGAACTACAAAACGACATCATCCCTGCACCGCTCTATAGGCAAGGCAAGGCAAGTTTATTTATATAGCACTTTTCAACACAAGGCAATTCAAAGTGCTTTACAAAAAATGAAAGACATTAAGAAAATGGCATTTAAAATCAGTCATTAAAAAGAAAAGCTAATACAATAAACATTAAAAGAAAAAATGCATGGATAAAAGTTACAGTGCTGTCTAAGATATGCATAGTTCAATTAAAAGCAGCGACAAAAAGAAAAGTCTTCTTGCTGGATTTGAAAGTAGTCAGAGTTGCAGCGGACCTGCAGGTTTCTGGGAGTTTGTTCCAGATATTTGGAGCATAATAACTGAACGCTGCTTCTCCATGTTTAGTTCTGACTCTGGGGACAGAAAGCTGACCAGTCCCTGAAGACCTGAGATATCTGGATGGTTCATCATTTAGCAGGAGGTCAGAAATGTATTTTGGGCCTAAACCATTCAGTGCTTTATAAACCAGCAGCAGTATTTTGAAATCTATTCTTTGACACACAGGAAGCCAGTGTAAAGACTTCAGAACTGGAGTGATGTGATCCACTTTCTTAGTGTTAGTGAGGACTCGAGCAGCGGCGTTCTGAATCAGCTGCAGCTTTCTAATAGATTTTTTAGTGAGACCTGTGAAGACACCATTGCAGTAGTCGAGTCTACTGAAGATAAAAGCATGGACAAGTTTTTCCAGATCCTGCTGTGACATTAGTCTTTTAATCCTAGATATATTCTTTAGGTGATAGTAGGCTGATTTAGTAACAGTTTTAATGTGACTGTTGAAACTCAGGTCAGAGTCCATGACTACACCTAGATTTCTGGCTTTATCTGTTGTTTTGAACATTGCAGACTGAAGCTCAGCGCTAACTTTTATACGTTCTGACTTGGCTCCGAAAACCATTACCTCAGTTTTATCTTTGTTTAATTGGAGAAAGTTCTGACACATCCAGTCATTGATTTGTTCAATGCACTTACTCAGTGTTTGAATTGGAGCATAGTCTCCTGGTGAAATTGTTACGTAAATGTGTGTGTCATCTGCATAGCTATGGTAACTTATTTTGTTGTTCTTCATTATCTGAGCCAGTGGTAGCATGTAGATGTTAAGAGAAGAGGCCCAAGATGGAGCCTTGAGGAACCCCACATGTCATATTTGTCAACTCAGATGTGTATTTACCTTTAGAAACAAAGTTGTTTCTGTCCTTTAAGTAGGATTCAAACCAATTTAGAACTGTTTCCGAAAGTCCCACCCAGTTTTCCAGTCGGTCTAGTAATATGCTGTGGTCAACAGTGTCAAACGCAGCACTGAGATCTAATAATACTAACACTGAAGTTCTGCCACTGTCTGTGTTTAAGTGGATGTCATTAAAGACCTATAGCCAGACATATGAACAATAGTGGTCTTTGAGGGGACGTCTGTTTGTAATGAGTTCTGTGGTTGGACAGCGATGGAGAACACATGAAGGACTCAGTATTACTGTGATGGCTTTGAAGTGAAGGTAGTATTTGTACTCTGTGATGGTGTATTGGAAGCGTCCCTCTTTGCCCTTCATCTCCGGCATGCTGATGTTACTGATCTCCTCCTCCACAAACTTCCCCGTCTCAGCCTTCACTGAAACACACAACACACACACAACACACACACAACACACACACCAATCAGACCACAGAGCAGAACTACAGGAGAACCGAGGAACTGATTCAGGTTCCCAACAGGTTTCATCTGGATATAGAATAGAATGGGAGGGATGAAACCCTCTGTAATGGTCTCATATGCAGAGCACCAGGAGTCTAGCACTAGGAGTCTAGCACCAGGAGTCTAGCACCAGGAGTCTAGCACCAGGAGTCTAGCCCCAGGAGTCTAGCACCAGGAGTCTAGTACTAGGCAGTCTAGTACCAGGAGGTCAAGTACCAGGAGAGTCAAGTACCAGGAGTCTAGTACCAGGAGTCTAGCACTAGGAGGTCTAGTACCAGGAGTCAAGTACTAGGAGACTAGTACCAGGAGTCAAGTACCAGGAGGTCTAGCACCAGGAGTCTAGCACTAGTACCAGGAGTCTAGTACCAGGAGTCTAGCCCAATAGCGGGTACCAGGCGTCTAGTACCAGGAGTCTAGTACCAGGAGTCTAGCACCAGGAGGTCTAGCACCAGGAGTCTAGTACCAGGAGTCTAGCACCAGGAGTCAAGTGCCAGGAGTCAAGTACAAGGAGTCTAGTACTAGGTACCAGGAGTCTAGTACCAGGAGTCTAGCACCAGGAGTCTAGTACCAGGAGTCTAGCACAGGATGTCTAGCACAGGAGTCAAGTACCAGGAGTCAAGTACCGGACGTCAGTCTAGTACCAGGAGGTCTAGCACTAGGAGTCTAGTACTAGGAGTCTAGCTCTAGGAGTCTAGCTCTAGGAGTCTAGTACCAGGAGTCTAGCACCAGGAGTCTAGTACCAGGAGTCTAGCCCCAGGAGTCTAGCCCAGGAGTCTAGTTCTAGGAGTCTAGCACCAGGAGTCTAGCTCTAGGAGTCTAGAACTAGGAGTCTAGCACCAGGAGTCTAGTTCTAGGAGTCTAGCACCAGGAGTCTAGCTCTAGGAGTCTAGCTCTAGGAGTCTAGTACCAGGAGTCTAGCACCAGGAGTCTAGCTCTAGGAGTCTAGCTCTAGGAGTCTAGCCCCAGGAGTCTAACACCAGGAGTCTAGCACCAGGAGTCTAGTACCAGGAGTCTAGCACCAGGAGTCTAGAACCAGGAGTCTAGCACCAGGAGCAGTGGGCAGCTATTGTACAGCGCCCGGGGAGCAATGGGAGTGAGGGGGGAAGGGGGGTGTCCGGTGCCTTGCTCAAGGGCACCACGGCAGGGCCCAGGAGGTGAACTGGGACCTCTCCAAGTAGCAGTCCAACACTCCATAATTAGGTCTGTTCGGGGGACTTGAACCGGCGACCCTACGGCTCCCAGTCCAACCCCTACTGACTGAGCCACTGCCGGATTGAATCGTTCCACTTTAGAGCAGATGTGTGTCTCTTGGCGTAAAGAAGTGGAATTCTTTGCCGAATGATTTAAAGGTCTGGAAGAACATTCTTCTGTTGAAGAACATGTGTAATTAGACAGTATGAAGGTGACTTTTGATTGTGTTCTGGTTTTATGTTTCAGTATTTGACCTGAAGGCGCAAGTCAAATAAGATGTTCTTCTCCCTGCTCCTTTCCACCATGCGCTATAAAGAAAACAACCGTATAAGTGAACATGTGTTGTTTTAAAATGTTGTGTGTGTGTGTTGTGTGTGTGTGTGTGTGTGTGTGTGTGTGTGTGTGTGTGTGTGTGTGTGTGTGTGTGTGTGTGTGTGTGTGTGTGTGTGTGTGTGCTGTGTGTGTGTGTGTGTGTGTGTGTGT